CAGCCAGTGAGCGGGAACCGGTCTCCACATGGGATCCAAACCCTTGGCGGGAGCGCCGCCACACTCCCAAGTGGCGCACTCTCCAGTGCACCACCGGGCCGGCCTCAGAGAAGAACTTTTTCAAGTGACCACAAAACACAAGATTTGACTATACATCTCTAATGGTATAGACGCTAAAAATAAAAAGAACTGTAAAATAATATTAAAACTTTTTATTAACCAGACTTTGATGGTATTATTGGTATTGTTGCGTGAATTATGGGATAAAGCAAATAAATAATTATGTCGGTGAAACTGAGAACCAGAATTTTCAACACAGAAGAAAGATATATATATGTATGTAAGATCAATGAGGTTGGGTTAACAACTCAGTGGTTCTTAATGTGAAATGGAAGGATCTATATGAATGCAGGATGTGTTTTATCTTTAAAAATTTTTATTTCCTTTTTTGGCTGCTGAAAAAGTTTAAAAATAATAACCCACCCAATAGCAATGGTATTCCTAGCACTGAGACTGAAGTCTCTAAATACCACTTGCCACCAAATAGAATCAGCATTTCATGAAGAAATGGCTAATTACTTGTCTAGGGTAGGAAGTATCCAAGATGAGCCTGGAACATCTTGTTACACTAAAAAGCATACAAATTATGAGATTGCTAGGTGTTGTGTCAAAAGGATTCAGGAGCTAACCTGAAGAAACTCTCACCTGTGAAAGATGGAATAATTTGAGCTTCAACAAAAGAGATAATTCCATGGATTAAAACACAGCCAATATTTTTAGGGCTGGCCGGTTAGCTCAGTTGGTTAGAGTGCAGTGCTGATAACACCAAGATCCAGGGCTTAATCCCTGTACTGGCCAGCTGCCAAAACAACAACAACAACAACAAAAAAAAAACCCAAATGTTTTTAAATCAATAATTTTATAATTACAATTTTAAAACTTATTGATCACTTTGCAGGATGCAAGAGAAATAACTCATTTGTTGAACACTGATAAAAAGGGAAAATAATCAAGCATTTATTCTGATTTTCCTATACAAATTGTACCTTAAAGTTGTTAAATAATTAAGGAAAGTTTCTCTTTGTAGAAGTATTCCACTAATAAATGAAGAACAAACAATAGAATTAGAATTTCGCTACTTTGCATTCTCTCACACATACATGACTCTAGATAACAATTATCAACGCTTGCTAACAAAGAGAAACAACCAGACATTTTATATGCCTACTAAAGGAAATACTTAACTATAAAGTAATTTCATCCTCCTCCGAAACAACCAACCAACAAAAGAACATAAATCCAATCAAGCTTCTAGATCTAAGTAGAAATTTACAGAAAATAGAAGGTATAGATGAATATGTTAAATGATACCACAGAGATACAATCAACACAGTGCAGACTGTTGGAAGTTCCATAACCAAATGATCTCATTTCTTCATCAAATAAATTAAAAGACCATAACAAGAAAACAACAAGATTCAGAAGGGAATCTCTACAATAAAAGCAACCTAAGACACACATCAATCAATTGCAATGTATAGACCTTACTAGGATCCTCTATTGAACAAATTGTTCTTAAAAAAATTATGAGACAAACAAGGAAATTTGAAAACTAAATAGCAAATAATGGATAGTATTTTTTTAAAAAAAATAAAATTTAATAAAGCAATTAGCAATGAAGGGAACCCTTAAACCAAAAATACAAGAACTCAGACAACAGAGTTGATAGCCAAAAAAAAATGAGGAGGTAAAACAGAATTGGTAGAAGTTAGGAGAGAAATAGAAGGGAAAAAACAAAAAACAAAAAAAACCCCCCAAAAAACAACAAAAATTTTAGAAATGAAGTTATTTACAAAGAACAAAAGAGAGACAGACATCACAGAAAATACAGTAAAGGACACAGAAGATAGAAATAAGAAAAAACCACAAGAAAGTGTTAAAAAGAATTAGCAAGAAAATGATAAACAGGTAAAGGAGAGCTAAAATATGCATAACTGAAGTTCCCCCTTTTCCCCAAAATGGAACAGAAGAGTAAAAAACATAATTAATAAAAACTAGTGTTGAAGGAAAGGGAAGACTAGAGGGAAGAAGAGGCTACAATCTAATTTTATTGATGCTTGGGGTAGGGAAACAATATTGTTTAAAGAAAAAGAAATATAAAAGGTAAATATAAGCACTAAAGCTACTGAAGGTCCTATATGGTACAATAAAGCAAACAAAAAAAAGTATAAGGATTTGAAGGAAGAAATAGAATTGACATTATCCTCAAATATCATGATTATCTAGAAAATCAATTGCTAAATTACAAGAATTAACAGGAGAGTTTAGTAAGGGTGCTGAATACAAGGCCAATATATACAAAAATCAATTCTGTTTCTATATTCTAGCAACAAAGAGAAAATGAAGAAATTCAAAAGCTATCATTTAAAATAGCATCAAGAAGTATCAGATACCTAGGAATAAATATAATGAAAAGTCTGAAAGACTTCTACATAGACAGCTATAAAACATTAATGAGAGAAATGTTAAAAGCTCTAAATAAAGAGAGGGAGATACAATGCTCAAGGATCTGAAGTCTCAATACTGTAAATATGTCAATTCTCCCCAACTTGAACTGTAGACTCAACACAATTGCAATTAAAATTCCAGCAGGTTTTTTTTTGGAAATTACAAGCTAATTCAAAAACTATATGAAAATGCAACGGACCTGGAAGAGTCAAGACATATTTATAGGAGGACAAATAGGAGCAAACAGAACAAATGCGCAATGTTAGGCCATTATGTTTTAGCCCATTTCTAAGACAGCAGCGGGTGGACGGGAGGAACACCCAAAATGGCTGCGGAGAGTTTCAGGTCTGTAGAACAGCACGTTTTCCAAGAATCACAAAAAACCCCCTCCCCCTTCTTTACCATCACATCCCCTTCTCACGCGTGTGAATTTCTCCACCTATAGAAAAATCCCAAGTCAGCTTAAAACCCACTTGCTTCCCTCCCCTTCCTTCTTAGCCAATAGGAACAGTCCAGCTGAGCCTAACTGGATATAACAGGCCCAGCCCAACTCACCCTGTGGCTGCTCCCACTTCTGAGAGGGCAGCCTGCTTGTTCATTTTGCCTGCCTAATACACTTTGGTTGAGTCCCTGTCTCCTGGTGTGTTTCTTTTGCACTCAGGTGGGTTTTTTTTTCTTTCACGCAGACTCTCAAGGCATATTATAATAGTATACAAATTAATATAATATGGTACTGTTAGAAGGACAAATTGTTCAACAAAATAGAGAAGAGACTCCAGAAACAGACCAGTCCATATATGGACACTTAATTTATGGCAAAAGCAGCACTGCAGAACAATGGAGAAAGCATGTCTTTTAAGTCAATGCTGCTGTATCAACTGGTTATCCAAATGGAAAAATGAAAACTGACCCTTACCTCACACCACACACAAAAAATCAATCTAGGTGAACTGCAGATCAGAATGTGAAAGATAAAACAGTAAAGCTTTTAAAAGATAACTTGGAAGGATATCTTCATGGCCTTAGGGAATGAAAAGTTACTAGGACACAAAAAGCACTATCCATAAGGAAAAGACTGGTAAATTAGACTACATAAAAATGAAATTTTTTTTTTCCTTTTTGTCTTTTTTACTGACCGGTAACGGGATCGCAACCCTCAGTGTCACGCCCGTACCGGGGACCGGCAACGGGATCGCAACCCTCGGTGCTGCGCCTGCATCGCGCTCAGCCAGTGAGCGGGAACCAGTCTCCACATGGGATCCGAACCCTCAGTGGGAGCGCCGCTGCACTCCCAAGCGGCGCACTCTCCAGTGCGCCACCGGGCCGGCCCTAAAAATGAAAATTTTTGGTTCATCAGGTTAGGCTATTAAGAGAATGAAAAAATATATACCCAACAAAAACGTTTACCTATTTGTACCAAAATATATAGAAGAATTCTCATAACTGCATTATTCCAAAGAGTCAAAAAGTAGAAAAGTAGATCCAGCAATCTAATTATGGAATTTTATCCAACAGGTAGATCTACAATCATATATATACACAAAGATATTCATTACAGCACAGTTTGTAATAGCAAAGGAACTGAAACAATCCAAGCATTGTTTCAGCTATAGGGGAAAGGTTAAATAAACTATGGTATATCCACACAGGGGAATACTATGCAGCTGTAAAAAAAAAGAACAAGCTTTCTAACTAGGGATGTAGAAAGATGAAAGATCTTCATGGTATACTGTTAACTAAGAGAAGCAGCAGGGTGCAGAACAGTGTATAGAAGACATTGATATTTGTTTAAGGAGAAGGGGGAAATAAAAATACATATATACATATATACACACACACATATTCATTTTAATATAGTCTAATTTACATATATTTCCTTTTAATGTAGTGTAATATATACATATGTTTTCCTCTATTTGCATAAGTAACAGTGATGGCAGTGGTTCCCAAACTTGTCTGTACCCTGGAATGATTTAAGGAGCTTCAAAAAATTCTACCCCTAGAGACTGTAATTTAATTCATCTGGTATATCACCTGGGCTTGGGGATTTTTAAGAGATCTCCAGATGATTCCAATGGTAGACAACTCTGAGAACCACCATTATAAGAACACAAAAGATATTAATAAAATTGGGTTTTTTGTGCATGTGTGTATAGGGGATAGGGACAGAGTAGATGCGGACAGAGACAAGAAACAGAACTTTCATTGCATACTTTTTAACATGGTTTCGATTTTTGAACCACATAAATGTATTAACTATTCAGAAAACTAAATTAGTTAATATAAAGGAACCAAATTGTTGCTTTCGCCATATTCATTTTTATGACATGCTTCTTCTCCAGGGTTCAGAATTCCCATTACCATTGTCATCAAAACAAGTTTATAATTATATTTTGAAAAAAATCATACTTCCAAATTTTCTCTATTTTGCCCCAAAACTATAATCCTTACTTAAGCATAGGTAATGTATTAAGTTCAGTAGCTGCAATTACCTGTCTTTGTATACCCAGCAAGAAAGTTTATCACGTGGTGTGGGTGGTTGTCCTTCAAAGTTGGTGATTTTTTCCCAAATGTAGGTTTCATCTCTTGTTCGCAAATTAACAAAATAAAGCTTTTAAAAGATAAGAACACTATTAGCATGCAGGGTATTTGAAAATTAAATCTACATTAGAGGGATTTCTGATCCAAAAATTAATACTATTCCTTTTTTCTAAAAATTGTAGAATTAATGAAAATGAGACAGTGTTTCAGGAACAAAAATAATATATAAAACACTGTGAAATGGATCTTCTCCCATCATGCTCTTGCCCTATGGATATCATTTAAATATGCAGTTAATTCTGCAGCAGAAGACATGAGAGAAGAGCAAGACTGCTGCATTTTCAATCCATCTTTAAAACCTCATAATTATAAATTTAAGATTTTCTACATATATCTTCTTTTTAACATATTTGTAAACTTCTTAGATGAAGTGATACATTAAACATTACATTTTGCTGCACTCCTGAATTAAAAGAAAGTATTACTCGATTGCTGTATCCTTTGTCATCATATCCTCCAAAAATGTACAGCTTTCCATTAATGCAAGCACCACAGCTTCCCGACATGGAGGTAGGGAGTTCTCCTTCCATTAGTTGCATTCTCCTGTAGCAAGAATAACATGGAATCCCATAACTTTCCAGAAAGGCAAATTAATATTCCCACTGGACTCCATGAGTACTTTTCGCAGTGAAAATTGTCACTGCCAATTACAATTAAAATGTAATGGTAGCCAATACTGCAAAAACTCTAAGAAAATCCAGGATAAATACTTTTCAACCTGTTGGGAAAAAAAAAAATCGCAAAATTTTCACATGTCACCAGAACTGGGAATTAGTAGAATAAGCCAAAGTCTTTAAAGACAGTATTGGTCTTGAAAGGAATGGTAAAGGACAAAGAATGGAAAGGGTAATGGGAGTAGGGTAAAGAAAGAGCTACAGATAATAAAGCACTGAAAGAAAAGGAAAAGGAGACTTCGTAAATGTTGCAGTATATTTTAAGTATGGTCTCAAATTCCCTGTGTCTATGAGAACATTTACAACATTAAAATTGGACATTCTGCAATTTAAAACTACTTACCATAACCCACTATCAATATCATAGGTCCAAATTTCATCATTAGGCAAATATACTTCATTGTCTTCAATAGACTAAAAATACAGAATACATAAAATTATGTTTATCAATTACATAGTAACAATTAAATGCTTCCTAAGGATGAGGAAAACTGCAATTAAAGACTACAAAACACAAAATCATGATCAAAGATTTTTTTTCAATATAAAATAAGATAGATTAAAAGAGAAAGGAAAGAGGAGGGATGAAAGATTTTCTAAGAGAAAGTGGGAAAATAATAAAGTTTTAGAATACAGAATAGCAAGTATATGAGTTTCAAGAAAGACTTAGGAAAGTTAATCCTTAAAAAGGGATTTTTAGTAAGGAAAAATAGCAAAACAATAAGATTTGAAGTAGAGTACTAAAGACTACAAAGCCAGGAAGAAAAGGAATATCAGAAAAGGGCAATACATTTTTGGTGATGGGAAAGAATTAAGAAAGGAAATTTTTAAAAGATATAATTAAGAGCACTGTATCAGATACTTTGACTCACTAAACATATTTTTTGAGTGCCTACTATATGCAGGCATAGTGTTAGGTGTTCATTAAATCTACAACCTGCGGATCATGATAAATTTAACTAGTCAAAATGACAATTAAGAATTCAAATAATCTCTAAAGAAGCTGATAACATAAATAAAACAGTGCATTCTGACATTTAGGATAAAAAGAAAAGTAAGAATAGTGTAACAATTTTATTTTAAGTTTAAAAACTTAGGGGTTAAAACAAATTCTTATGTAAATCTGTCATGATTTCTTAGAATCTGTAAAATAATTTAAAAATAGCGAGAGTTTTAAAACAGCAGTTTGAGAATTTCTAAAACTGTATGATGCATAAATTATTAACATGGTAAGTAGATTTAGCTGTTTCTCATTGCCGTTAAATTTTTAAAATGGCATTTTTACTGTCTCTCATACAACACACACACAAATATACAAAATAGAAAACCATTTATTAATTCCAAGGAAATTTCCACTCATGTCTGACTAGGAATCCATATGAGATGACTAAATAGACAACTGATTGTAAGAAGGGGAGTTAATTGTATGATTCTAAGGTTAAATGGCATCAGGCTCCAGTAACCTCATGTGTATACCTCTACAAAAGAAATAAGAAAATGAATTCTGTCACTATTCTGTTGAAGTCCCTTCAGTGGTTTCCTACTGCTCTTAGGATAGTCTAAAATTCTTATGATTCTGTACTGTATGGTACCTGATATCCCTCCAAAACTCAACTTGACTTTCACTCATATGCTCTTGTCTTGCAGTTTTTAAACCTCTTTACTTTCCTCACTGCCATTCGTCTATGCTCTTCTCTTTTCTTGGAATGCTCTTTCAGAACTTGCCTAATTATTCATTCTTTGGGAATCAGTTTAAATGTTACTTCTCTAATCCTCCAGAATAGGTTAAGGTATTAAGGTCCTCTGTTAAATGCTCTCATGCAGTCCTGTATTTCCACTTCAAGTTCTTTGTATCATCCCCACTCACCTCCACCAATATCACTAAACGTTAAACTTCACGAGTGCAGGGATTATGTGTGTATTGTTATAGTTATGTTCCTGCAATCTAGCACAGTGCCTCACACATAAAAGGCAAATGGAATATTTGTCAATTGAGTGAGTAAATGGGTAAGTGGATAACACTTGTTAAATTGACTGAATGTTCACTTCAGTTCAATAATTTTTTTAAAAAGTTCCTTTTGCTAATCTTTCAATGTAAATGAAACACGAGATTGAAAAGTTTGGACTTAGTTCCTTCTTACTTTCTCAGAGACTTTATTCCTACACTATCCCATCTTTTCCACATCATCAAGTTTTCCTTCTCTACTCAATTATCCCTATCGATATCCAAATGTGCCTAACCTCATCTTTAAAAAAACCCCTCCCTTGATTCCTCCTTCCATTTCTTTGCTTCCTTTGCAACAAAACTTCCATACTGAGTTAACTATAGTGGATGTCTCCATTTCTTCACCTCTCATTCTCTCATCAACCCAGTCTAATCTGGCTTTTGAACCCATCTTTTCACTGAAACTGCTCTTGTCAAGGTCATCCCATAAAGACAATTAGTGAACTGATTTATCCAGAAATGTGGCCTAGAGAGAGGTGGAGAAAGAGAGAACTCAGTCTAATCAGAATTACATTAGGACATAATAGAAAGAATGGGTAAGACGCAATATTTGAAGAGACAAATACTGAGTGTTTTTCAAAACTGTTGAAAGTAATCAATTCTGAGATCTAGGAAGTCCTAAAGAGTCCCAAGCAGGATAAAGTAGATAGAAATCCATACCTTGACACTTCATAGTAAAACTGCAGAACATTAAAGAAAAAGACATATTCTTAAAAACAGCTAGAGAAAGATAGGTCACCTTCAAATTAATGGCAACTAATGACTATTCTCATTAGCAAAACACAAGACTGAAAAATACTAGCGAATGTGCTTAAAGAAATTAACTGTCAACCTAGAATTCTATACCCACTGAAGATATCGTTTAAGAACAAAAGTGAAATAAAGAAATTCTCAGACAAAAACTAAGAGAGCCAATAACAAACCCTCACTTAAAGAAATTCTAATGGATGTACTACTTCAGGCAAAAGGAAAATGATCTCAAATTAAAGATCGTAAATGCAACAAGGAATGTCATGACAAGATATTGGAAAATGTGTTGGTAAATCTAAACATAAAAAAGGGATAAACTCTTTTTGATGCCTAATTTGAGGGGTAGGGGTGGGGAACAGGATAGTACTAACTAGGGAAAGGCGTGATCAGACTTAAAACTTTCTAAGGAACTTGAATTCTATGGGAAAAGGAAAAAATGGAAAATCTGAACAATCCCATAGTTTTAAATAGATTGAATCAGAGATAAAAACCTCCTCTGCAAAGTAAGTACCAGGCCCAGAAGGCCTTACAGATAAGTTCTACCAAACATTCAAAGAACAAATAATACAATCTTTTAAAAACTATTCCAGAATATAAAAGAAGAAATGATGCGCAATTCACTTATGAAAACAGATGCAAAACTCTTAAAAAATAATTAGAAAACAGGATCCAGCAATATACAAAACGACACTCTCTAAAACTCTCTAAAATAAATACAACATCAATAATTGAAAATCAATAGATGGGATCTTCCTTAATTTGATAAAGGCCATCTACAAAACAAAACAAACAAAAAATAAAATCCATAAAGCAAACATCAAATTTACTGTTCAAATGTTGAAAACAATCCCTTAAGAGTAGGATAAGAAGAAAAAAGGCTTCTATAAGGGTCTTCAAAAAGTTTATGAAAAGATTTGTATTATCTTTTAATTCCATTTTTTCAAACTTTTCGAAGTACTCTTGTATTTAACACTGTACTTCTTTTCCACCAGTACAGTAAAGGAAATAAAAGAAATAAAGATTAGAATGAGAGAAACAAAACTGTCACCATTTACAGATTATGACTATCTACATAGAAAAAAAATTTTTTTAATTACCATATGAATTATGAGAATAAAAGTTTGGAAAGCTTACCAGAATAAAAAATATTCAAAAGTCAAGTGTTTTTCAAAACACCAGCAATAGTAAGGAAATTTAATTTTTAAAAAGTAATAATAGACATAAAAAATATAAAGTAGCTCAGAATAAACCTAACAAAGATGTACATGATCCCTATAAAGACAATTATCAAATTTTATTGAACGACATTAAACAGTACTGAATAAATGGAGAGATACTATGTAAATGGATTAGAAGACTCAATTTCATAACATATCAATCTCCCCCAAATGATCTAAAGATTGAATACAGTAATAAATAAAATCCAAATAGGGTATTTTGTGGAATTTGACAATCTGATTCAAAAATTTATATTAATGGTATGGTGTTGTGGAAAACAAATGTAGAATAACCATATGACCCAGCAATTCCACTCCTGGGTACCCAAAAGATTAAAAGTAGGGACTCAGATATTAGTACACCAATGTTCATAGCAGCACTATTTGCAGTAGACAAAGGTGGAAACAACTGAAGTGTCCATCAACAGATAAATGGATAAACAAATGTGGAATACCCATACAATGGAACATTATTCAGCTGTAAAAAGGAATGAAGTTCTGATACAAACCACAACACGGACAAATCTTGAAAACATTGTAAGTAAAATAAGCCAGACACAAAAAGACAAATATTGTATTCCACTTATATGAAATATCTAGAAAAAAGCAAATTTATAGAGACAGAAAGTAGATTAGAGGTTACCAGAGGCTGTGGAGAGGAAGAATGGGAAGGTATTACAGAGTTTCTCTTTGGAGTAATGAAAAATTTTCAAACTAGACAGTGCTGATGATTGTGAAACATTGTGAATGTAATTAATGCCATTGAATTGTACACCTAAATATGGTTAAAATGGCAAATTTTATGTTTTACATATTTTAATACAATAAAAATAGTAATAAAAAAAACCCCCAAACAACAACAACAAAAATACCCCACATTGTACAAAAGAACAAAAG